TGTCCCTGAGTGATGGGGTGGGTTCTGGGGGCCACCGGCGCGGAGTGCACCTGCCACTCTCCTCCCGGGAGCGAGGGGAGCCGGGCAAGGGAAGACGCCCTGGCCAGCCGCCCCCAGAAGGGAGCGGGAACTGAGGCAGAGGTCGAACGCACTAGATTTTCCAGGGCTTGGTCCTGCCCGACTGCGGGGTGTTTGCTGAGGCTGGGGTTCCATAACTTAGTCTTGCAAAAAGGGTGGTTTTTAAGCCTCTATAGTTTTTCTACAAATTAGATCCATTTCCTATCCAAGTACACAGGCATCTTTAAAGTGAACGTTAAAGGAACCACGGCAAGCATTTCCCACGGTGCCGGTGGCCCTGGAGGGCTGGCCCGCCCCGCCACGCCTCATCCTTCCGCACACGAAGTGGCAGCAGGGAACGTGAGCCCAGGCCCCTGTGGCCTAGGCCCACAGCATCACAGGTCCGGAGGGACTGCCGGGGAGAGACCCCTGCAGCGACACGAAGGTCAGGCCACAGGCATCGGGGGTTCCAGTCCCCACCCACATTCAAGGGCGAGCGGTCAGAAGCTCCAGTAGGGGGTGGCGCCGAGCCCGGCCTGGCGAGCACAGCCTGCCGGCTCAGGCGAGCTCGTCCCACCGGCCCGCCGGCGGTTCAGGTGAGGCAGGCAGGCAGTCCGCAGTAACAAGGGACGTGAGGAGGCAGACGGAGCCTGGCCCAGCAGAGAGGAAAGGGGAGCCCAGGAGCCCACTGCGGGAGTGGATCGGGCTGGACCAGGGAAGTGAGGAATCCCACCCTTCATCATTCAGCTGGTTTTAAGAAATCAAAAAACAGCAGGACTGGAAAGAAGCCTCCAAGTTGGATGTCCCAGCAACCCCAGCCAGCACCCCTGTTCCGGGTGTGGGTGTGCCCACCCAAGACACCTTCCAAATATGGCCTCGCTTTGACCCAGCACATACGCTGGGAGCCGGGTTACGGAAAGGAACCCCTGCCATGGAAAATGCTCTACACGCAGAAGCAAGTCTTACAGGGCTGTGTAGTCACATGGACGGCACAGTGGTTTGGAGGTCACAGCGAGAGAAACGCCTCAGACATCACTGGCAGGAGACAGGTCTCTGGCTGAGACATTCCCGGGACACACGGTTCCCACGATGATGTCCCCAGTAGGAAGTGGCACAAGGACACCCGCCTTGTCGGCCAGATCAGGGCCATGAGCCCCGACAATCAACAGGGGCGATGTCACAGCCAGACCTACCCCAGGTCAGAAATATTTTTGGCTTCGCAGGCCACATAGTCTCTGCCGTAACTACTTGGTTCTGTCACTGCAACGTGAAAGCGGCCACAGACGATACTTAAACAAATGTGCATGCCCGTGTTCCAATAAAACTTTATTTATAAAAACAGGCAACCAGCCAGTTTTAGCCCCAGGCTGTTTCTGACACCCTGTCCTCCATCCTCACATCTGTTACTTTGAAACAGCAAAAAGGGAGAGGAGGGCATCCTAAATGTCCAACCTGGGGAAGCTGTTTACCAGCTGAATCACCTGGAACTGACTCACTCGGTCTACATTTTTCAAGGCCTGTTTGTGGCAGCTGCTGCTCTGAGCCCTGGGGACAAGGCAAAGGGCCCATCAGCCACCCTCGCAGCCAAGCTCGGTGCCCCGAAACGTCTAGAGGAGTTTGCAATAGCTAGGGAGGCCCTTACAATGCTCTGAGAAAAGCAAAATACAAAATTATGAATAAAAATAAGACCAAAGAATATCTTTTCAAAAACCCACACACGGGGGAAAGAACAAGGAATGGGAATTGTCGAAAGTGGCTAAGTCTGCCTTTGGCTGGCTCCGCCAACCCCTCTCTCATGTCCCTCTCTTTCCTCTCTCTCTCTTTCCAATACGATCACACATTACACTTTTACAATAGAACAGGCCCTTTGTTGCATTTAAGAAGGGAGACATGTCTTGATTTTAAGCAGAGGCCTGAGGCCCTCCTGCTTCCACCTGCGGCTAGTTCCTAGCTGACCCTGACCACAGTCAGGAAAAGCCAGGCACGGGGCCAGGCCCACGCTGGCCAGGGAGGGTGCGGCGCTCAGCACCCGGGTCAGGCCCGGCAGGCTGGGCCAGGAGCCTCCCCCGACCCCGCGGATGCCCCAGGGCAGGGAGCCAGTGCCCGCCTCCCCTCTGCCGTCCTCCTGCTGAGTCCCAGTGAGGCGCTCACTGCCCTCGTCGGAGGAAACGGCTGAGGCCAGAAGGAGTGGTCCCCTAGGGTCCGGCTGATGCCCCGGAACAAGGACCTGTGACCCTGCGGGGGTTGTGGGGACACCATCAGATTGTTGGTAAGAAAGAAGGAAAAACGAATCTCCCACAGACCCCCCAACCCACACTACTAGCTGGGGAGACGCTCGCCACCTGCCTGGCCCGTCCCGCAGCACCTGCTCCCCATGCTTCCCCGCATCCGCAGCCGCGGCAGCCGTGTCAGCCCAGGCGAACATCAGGTGGCGTCCTGAGCGAGTCACTTCTTACAGGTTTGGTCTTTACAGCCAGGAAGCAGGAAGTGCCCCTGGAAGGGACAGGGCCCTCGGCAGGAGCCGGGGAGGCAGGAGGTCACTTGGCTAAGAGGTTGCAACTCACACAGTACTTTCCAGGGGTTTCTCCCGTGAATTCCATATTTCTACCCCAAATATAAGTGTTCTAGTGCTTTCCTAAAATTCCACTGTGTCCACTTCTTGATGGGTAACTTTTCTCTCTTTCCCAAATACCTTGGTAAAAAGGGTTTCTTTGGGAAAGAAAAAGTGTGAGTTTGTTTGTTTTGTTTTGTTTTTTTAAAGAAATTGTTCCTTTTCCATTGACCTTCTTTCCCGTCCCTTTGGGAATCTGGGAGAACAGCTCAGACCGCTAGGTGGGGACCGCGACCCACTTGGCGGCCGCGTGCAGCGGGGCTGCGGGCCATGCGCGGGGCGGCCACAGCAGGGAGCTGCCGCTCCGGCCCAGAGGGCCCCTGTGCGTCTGCGCCCCCGTTCTCCCACTGGTGAAGTGCTGCCAGCAGGACGTCCACGGATAACACACCCCGTTCCCCTTAAAGAGGCGGTCTGTCTCCAGGTTCTCCTCAGAGCGCCCGTGGCCCCTCGCCTGTCGGGAGGCGCCTGCAGAGGCCGGCCTGCAGGCCCGACGGGGGCGGTCGGACCTGGCCCCGGGGGCGCCGGCTCGCCTCCCCCACCGGGCCCCGGGGCCCGGCCTCTGCCCAGTGTGGGCCTGCTGGGGGGCTGCCCCTCGTAGGGACAGCCTTCAGACAGAAGCTTCAGTGCAGGCGCAGCAGGCTGGGGCCCTCCAGGCAGGGCCACTGAATCCCAAATGGAGGGGGACACGCTCTGACACCCTGCACCTCCTTCTTTCAAAGTCAAGCTCAACGTGCGTTTCAGCGTGGACTGCCCAGCAGGACTCGAGTGGCTCGGTGCCCCCTTCGGACCAGGGCAGTGCTCCTCCGACCTTGACAACAACGCCCCCCAAACCCCATCAGGCCCCCGAGACGGTCAGGCTGTGGCTCTTCCTCATCGCCCCTCCGTCAACGCCCCTCAGCCCCATCCCAGCACCCCCACCTCGCTCTGATGGCTCCCCTTGGCTAACCCACGCCAGGACGCGTGGCTTGGACTGCCTCCTGCCTGGGCCCGAGGTGAGCCAGCCGCCGGTCCCCGCCCTCGCCGCACAGGGCCGCCCCCGCACGGCACTCTCAGCGAGGCCGCCCCCTCGTTCGCTCATGCAGTCAGCCAAGAGCTGCGGAGTGCCCGCTATGTGCCAGGCACTGTGCGAGAAGCTGGACGTCAGCAACAAACAAAACAGACAAATCCCAGCCCTCGAGGATCTTATGTTCGCGTGGAGGGAGACAGGCAAATCTGTGAACGTGCACAATCCACAGTGTGCCACGTGATGGTAAATGCCACGGGGAGAAGGGTGGTGGCAGAGGAGGCGGCTGAATGCCAGGTTGTCTCCTTCAGCGGCACGGTGGCCAGGGATGGCCTCTCTGCAGAGGGGGCCTCTGAGCGGAACCCTGGTGGGGGGCTGGTTTGAGCCGCTGGTAGAACACTGGGAGGAGAACATTCCAGACAGCAGCAGCAAGTGCAAAGGCCCGGGGCAGGGACATGCTGGGGTGTCCTGGGAAAGGCCAGGAGGTCAGCAGGGGTGGAGGTGAGGGGCAGGGCGAGGGAAGGTCATGGAGGCCTGGGGGCCCCTGAAGGGACACGGGCTTTCCCCGTGAGTGTGACGGGACGTGGGGGCCCTGACTCACACTGTAACAGACCCCTCTGGCCTCCATTTATTGTTGAGGACAGACGGCAAGGGCCAAAGCGAGAAAGAGACACCAGCCGGGAGGCAAGAGCCGCTTCAGCCAGGCGTAGGGCAGGGCTTCCCGGTGGGCTGGGTTGGGGGGTGATGGAAAGAGCAGAGACGGGGCGGTTCCCAGGCCAGATGGCTCTGGCCTGACGGACGGGAAGGGCCAAAGCTGCCCTCTGCTGTGCCGGCGAAAGCGGCAGGAGCAGCCGCTGTGTGAAGGGCAGGGTGGAGCTCCCCTCCCTGTGGGGCTGACGGGGACCAGGCTTCAGGCCCCAAAGGAGCACGGTCTCCTCCAAGACGCCTTTCGCACCCCCCGAATGCCGGCTGCTCTCGCTCATAGACACACACACAGCCCTTTTCTGCACCTGTTCTCTGTATCCACAAGTAATTCCCTTGAGTAACCCAAGGCTGATTCACTTTATATCATCTGGAAGCATCTGCACACAGTAGGTGCTCACTAAACACTGTTGGTAATACGCTACACAGAATTGCATTTACGATGATTTAATAGTCTAAACAATTCAAAATTGTTTTTCAAAACAGCTAAAAATTATGTTTAGTGGTTAACTATTGAGCAGTAATTATTCCACCCGAAGTGTCGCAGGTGGAGAGGCTGATCTGACCAACCACTCCCGTCGCCAAGGCGAGCTCTCTGCAGGAGGCTCGCAAGGAAGATGGGCTTACCTTGCCAGTCCTGATGTCCCAGGCTTTGACTTCAGGGCTGAAGCCTCCACACACAAAAAGGCTGTGGTCTTTAGGATGAAATTTCAAGGTAGTGACTCTAAAGTTACTTTGACCACTGAATATCTGGGTTCCTACAACACAGAGAGAAAAGAGAAAATACTCAGATCACAAAATAAGTGTCTTAGAACAAAGATGCCACCCAGCATGGAGCTACACTCCAAGACGGCCCATCTGGGCCCCAGGAAGCCAAAGAGACATTCTGGAAACACCACTGCAGCAGCAGGAGCTCTGACCTCACTCTCTACCACCCCACCCTGATTCGCTGAACCCCGCCCCAGGGCTGACTAAACTAGCAGCTGGACCTGGGAGTGCCACCTGCAATGTGCTCTAATCCCACTCTACAACCGAAAAGAACCAGCCCTCAGGGAGACTAAGGAGCATCTCCAAAGCTGCCCTCGTGGGAGAGTCTTTGCCTGCAGGCCTGCAGGCCTGAGGAGCAGCAGGGTGCTCCAAAGAGATTCCTTTTAGGATCAGCCACCTCACAATCACACCTTTATTCTCACCCACAATCGTCTGGTACCGAGCCTGGCAGTGGGGGTGGTGAGATCCTCGTGTGACAGACAAGCGTGACATGCCCTGGCCCGCACCCACGATGCACAGGGGCTGTGGGCCACCGGAGTCTCACTGGCTGTACAGGACTCAAGTTGGTCCTTGGCCTCACGTGTCTGTCCTGAAGCCACTGTCAAGCCCATACATGCACTGTGCAAACATCCCTGTGCCCACGTGGACGCATGGGTGGCAAACGCCGGACTGTCCAGCTCGGGGCCCTGCACTGGTCTACTGGTCTGCTGGGCTCCAGGCTGGCACTGCTACGTCCACCCCGCACCAGAACACCAGATGCAGTTCTTGTGTGGCCGATTCCACCTCCTGAAAGTGCGGCGAGAGACCAGGCTGGCAACAGGAGCTGTCCTCACCACTGAGAGCCTGAGGGCTGCCTCTGCATGTGTCCCCAGGGCCTAGGCCTCAGGCCAAGCCAGCGAGGGGAATGAAGGCAGCCTCCTGCAGAGACGCCAGCAAGGCCTCCCTGGCCCACGGCCGCTGGCCTAGGACTGAGGCAGCGGGCAAGCAGGGACACAAGGAACTGGAGGCCAGGAACACCAGGGTCTCCCGCTGCATCACCTCCTAACACGAGCCCAGGAAGCACGTCTGCTCATTCCCTTCGGAAGGCACTTTCTGAAGGTTGCCCTGCTGTGAGTTCAGCGCCCGCCCCCCACCTAGTGACCTGTTCCACCAAATCGCCAGGCACAGACCGGAGAGCCACCAACAGCACTCCCGAGAGCCCCAGCGGCAGCCCTCACAGACCCCGCTGGCCTGGCCCCGTAGCCTCCACGCTGTCCGGCAGTGCAGCCCCGGGTCAGTGAGAGTCCCAGCTCACCTCGTCAGTGCAGGTAGATGTGTTAGTTACACGGTGTGCTGCATGCCAATGTATGTGAATATTACAGCAAACACCAAAAACAGAACATTTTAAAGGAGGAGACGAGGAGAAAATGACCAATATTTTAAAATATATCAGCATGCCATTTAGAAGAGTTTCAACAAACTTCTTTGAAAGCATTAATAAATTCTAATATTGTATTCTTACCGAGAGCAACAGGATTGACTACGCTTCCATTTCCTTTTTTTTTTTTTTTTTTTTTTTTTTTTTTTAAGTATAAGGAACTTTTTTATGACTCGGCAATTTGAAAGTAGCCCAGTTACAGCATCAGTTTATACACTGAAGTCTGTTCAAGCCACGAAGACGCCCAGAGGAGCAGAGGCCTAGAAAGGAAATGGTCACCCTTGGCAGCAATGGAGGCGTCCCCGGCCCCGGCCCCGCCTCCCCCTCACCCCCCACTGCTGTGGACACCGTGTGAGCGCACAGCGTGACAAGCCCTTGCCCCGTGCGGCGCTGAAGAACAGCACCTGCCACTCGTTGCCGGGGAGGACGGCATGCTCAGATTTCTAACAGCCCCATTCAAAATCCACTGGCATTTTCACTGAAGTATTTTAAAGCAGATTAGTAAAACGCTGTTCCCCAGTTCAGGGTGCAGATAATAAGTTTGCATAGGTGACACAGGTGTGTCGTGTTTGGCAACGAAAATTACAGAACGATGGAAACGATGAAAAACATCTGTTTTCATGATGTTCCTCCCCTAGAACAGATTTTTTGGAAAGCCGCTGCGTTCGCTCCTCATTAAGCCTCACTCTGCCTTAATGAAGGAGTAAGTGCGCTGACTTTTTCCTAACGTCTTCCAGGGGCCCATGACTGGCAGTCACTTGTCATCAGAGCAAATTCTGGAAACACTTGACCTTTTATAAATGAAGACTGTACCTTTTTCAGCTCAACAAGCTCCTTAACTATGATATTTTGCAATAAAACGCAGGGCATGAAGATGTTCGTGGTCATCCTGTGTCATCATAATGGTGTCAAGAGCAAGCCGCGTCACGTCCTATCTCCCATGGCAGTGAAGGCCTGTGAACAGCCTACTGTCCGACTCGAGGGGAGTGGTTACAGCAAACGCAGTTCCCTGCCTGGTAGGATGTCGAAAAGCCATTTAAAACTGGAACCAGAAACAGCGCTCTGCAACCAGGTGGAGCATGGCTGAGCCCCGTTTCCGGGTCACAGGAGTATTACGTAGGACTCACGGGGACACAGGATTGGAGGAGATTCATTCACACAAAGTGACTTTATGTGACACGGATGTTGTTGTTGTAATAATGTTTACTAAAAATAAAGGCTTCCTCTAGAAGACAGGCACCAGGCAGGAGGGCAGGCCCATGGGGGGCTGGGCACTGTGCCCCTGCCGTCGGACCGGCCGGGGAGCAACATTCCCAAGTGAGCGACGGAGTCCCCTGGGTATTGACCCAATTGGAAGCCTGGGATTCCTTGAGCTTCTCCTCCTTTGACTCTCCTGAAACTCACCTGGAACCAGCCACGACCTGCCCGTGAGCAAGTGCCCATCCCCGGAGCGTGGCGCGGACAGCAGCCCCCTGTGGTCCCCATGCGCTTGTCCAGGACGCAGGGCAGCGCCGTCGGGCATCCAGGATGGGTCTCACCCCTGCAGCACAGGCCTCAGGACGCTGGCTCCGGCCCAGGGGCTGGGGGACCCCGCTGGCGGGGAGGGAAGGGCCCGCTGTCCCATCCCTCAGGAACAGGAGCCCAGAGGTACCACTGCAGCCCCCACACCACCAACAAGGCCCCAGGGGGCCACGTCTTTTCTCCAGACGGGGACAACTGTGCCTACTGCCGACTTCTTGCTCGTCGGGAATTCACTGCCAATCTTTAAGTCCAAAAGGAAAAACAAACTCTATCTGCCTGCAGAAAAACTTCTCTGTTTCTTGGACCGGAGCACATAACATATGCTTATTTCAGAAAACGCAGCGCGTTTGCCATGGCTTTTCAAAAAGTGCAGCGGTGCCGCCTTGCCAACAGGGGGAGGAGCGACGGCGGGCAGGTGAATGCTGAGTCGCTGGAAGGTGATGGCTGAACTTTTTGTTGTTTACAAAAATGTACTTCTGAATAGATTCATCTTCTTCAGCCCCCTAACGGGGCTGGGAGAGAGGACCTGTGTCTTTCAAGCACTTACATCCTCCAGTTAGAAGACAAGCTAGAGTTTATATCTTTTTTCCTACTTCCGCTTATATCAACTAGGCCTTTACTCTTCAGTGTAGTCCTTTCTTAAAAGGATCCAAAACAAAGGCTTTAGGATTTTTTACTGAGCTTCCAGATACTTCCTGCGAAAGGCTAAGGGGAAACTTCCGCGCGGGAAGGAGGGCTCAGGCGGGCGAGCCACCCCGCCTGTGTGTCCTCAGCGGCGGCAGGCGGTCAGCGGAGGAGTGGAGAGCCCTGCGGAAGCGGCCCCACAGCGCTGCCCCCGCCTCGGGCAGGCCTCAGGCGCGTCCCTGCACTGCAGGCTGCGCCCCCGTGAACGCGAGGCTGCTGGGAGGGCCCCGCGCGGCAGGGCGCACAGCGAGCCACGGACGGGAATCGGCACCGTCGTCTGCAGAAAATGAAACCCACAGTGGCTGGACTCGTCCCTGGAGGCAGGAAAAGCTGGAACCAAGGGACGCGAGTTTTGAACAGCAGAAGCCTTGAGAGACCAGTGACTCGGCGCGTTCCTCGGTGGCTGCGGGAGTCCCATGCTGTGGTCTGGCCTTTACGTTTTGTCACGCAGATGTGGAGAACGGCTGGGAAACATGCGTCAGAAACTGTCTGGGCCACGAGCGTCAGCCCCGCTGCCGGTGAAGGTCCTTTCTTAGCAGGTTGATTTCCCCCCTGCACCTCTTCATACACCGAAGCGCTTGTTTATCACAGCCTTTCCCCGCAACGCCACTTGAAACACAATGGTTAGTTGCTGTGTAACCTTTAACTTTGAGACTATCTCGCTTGTTTACATGTTCATCATGGAAAATTCTATTATTCGCTGTGTGCTACTTATAGGAAATTGAGTTTTAAAATATTTAATCCACTAACACGGACTTTATTGATCTTGTTATAATGAAATCAACCCATATGAGAACTGTTCAGCTCCTCTTGGAGTTGGGAAAAAATCACTCCTTTTGCCCCTCGAATCAATAATGACACAAATAAACTATACGTTGCCATTAAAGCAAAACCGTGTTTAAACAACGCAGAAACTCAGCCCATTCTCGACATCACCGTCGCTGCCGATGTTCCCACCACCAGCACTGCTGTGAGGAGGCGGCTGGTGTCACTGGCCGGTGACCCTCAGACTTGTCCCTCTTCCTTTCTCGGGTAGAGGCAGTGAGGTGCCCAGCGGGGACTGGCACACGTGGCCGGAGCAACACCGCCCGTCCACCCTCAGCCCAGCCTGGGGGGCCCTGTCAACAAGCAGGGCTTGGGTCCACAAGGGTCCCCCTATTCCACCCAGCAGCCTGGCCCCCAGCCTGGCTCAGACACAATTCCTGTGTGGAGCTATAAATGGCCCAGTTCACAGCTTGGGAAGTGGGAGCTGGGCAAGACATATACGCATCCAGGGCCCACGAGCCGGCCACGCCGGGAAGGAGGCCACGCCTGCCACGAGCTGCTTGTGGTCCCCTCCTCCTCAGCTCTTGTGCACACTGGGGACTC